TTATTTAGTAATAACAAAATTTAATAATAGAAGTTACCTTCATCATAAAAAAATAATTTCCATCCATAATAAGAAATATTGAAATTTATATAATTATTATGAATATTAATTAAATTATTTGTTTCAATAGGATCCAAAGATTTACATATTTTTTCATTGTTTTGATTGTTTTTGTAATCTGTAAATTATTTATTTTACATGTTAAAATAAAAATTGATAAATAAAGATTTAATTCATCAATTTATAAAATTAATTATAAAATATAACAATATAATAAATTTTTTTATATAATATTTAAAATATAAAAAATTGAATAAATAAAGTTATCAATATATAATTGTAATTTTAATTTTATATAATTTATTATATAAATTTAATAAAAATTATGATATATATATATATCATATGTGAAGATTATAAAAATCTATTGATACATGAATTCATCATTATATATATACACATATATATAATATATATAAATTTTTAATTTTTATTAATTTCTTACAATTATGTAAATTTTCTATTTTATATTACGCTGGTTGTATACTATGCTATACAATTTGCATGAATTATTATATATCAATAAAATTTTTATCAATTTTTATGAAAATATAAAAATCGTATATCTATAAAATGAGATCAATTGTTTATAATTTCAATTTTTTCCATTTTTTTTTTAAATGAATGAGAATTATTTTCTCATAGTACTTAAATATTGATTGACGATATTTTTATTTTGTTTATAATTAAAAAAAAATATACATCGATACTTTTAAATTAAAGTATTGTATATTATTGGCATGAAATAAATATTTAAAATTATTACATATTTTAAATAATTTTTAAAAAAAATTAAAAAAAACTTTTGTAAGAAGAAAATAAATAACTTTTAAAAAAATATGTATAAATAAAATATACATATGAATAAAAAAATAATAAATTATTGATCAGAACGCACTTTTGTAATATTCATAATTTTAAAATCTATGTGAATTAAAGATTAGAATTTAAGAATATATATAATATAATAACTTAAGAAATTTTTTAAAAAAATTGCGTATTATTACACGCAATAAGAATATTTTTATATTACAAAGATAATTTTACAAATAATATAAAAAAATAATTAAAAAAAATAAATTTTCGAAATCAAAAAGAAAAAGCTACTTAATTTAAAGTGATTTTAAATTATAAATTAATGAACTTACCTTAAAATTTTTTATTAAGTATAAAAAAAAAGTTATATTAAAAAAAAAGATAATTTTTTTTTTATTTCTTGTTTCTATATAATAAAAATAATTCTATATAAAATATTTTTTTTACTTTTCCCAATATTTTAAATTTTATATTTTAAATGTCGATAAAAAAACATAATTTAAATAAAAAAAAAGATTATCAAAATAAATAATATCTTACTGTTAGTTTTTGTTGACTTCTTTTTATCAAGATACCATTTATTTTTATAAAAATTTTTTGATTTCTTATTATTCATAATTATAAATATAGCAAATATATTCGTAGAAAACTATTCATTACAAAATACCTAGATATTTTTTCAATTTTTATTATAATGTCATTAATTGATAATTTAATATTAACACAATATATAATTTATACAATATATAATCACTTTCAAAATTTATTATTATATAATATATAAATAGAAAACGATTAATATTAGTTTTATTATTTTCATTAATTGTTTACAAAACACTTTATAATATAATTTCAATAAAAGTTAGGTTATATAAATATCTCTCTAGAAATATTTCTCACTAAAATTTAGATACTTACTACTTAGTTATTTATTTCATTCGATAAGTCGAATCCACAACTATATATAAAATCATGAATTAAAATCTAGGGAAATTAAATCGATTTACGAATTGTTATTGAACCTGATTTTCCTAGATTTTAATCACGTGATTTTATTTACATTCAATTTTATCGTTCAATAGTTCAATGAGATATATCTAATAGTAACAAAACAATTGTTCTATAGTTACAAATGCTCTTTTAATGATTATATTATAATTTAAATATTTCTATAAAGAATCAATGTGTAATCAATTAATAAAATAAAAGTAATGACGGTAATAAATATTGTGTTCAATTATTTATATATTATTTATTTATTTTTTTATTTTTTTATTTTTTTTATTGATTTAATTTTGAAAATGAAATATATATTATATTAATATTAAGTTCAATTAATGAAATTTTTATAAAAATTAATATAATAAAAGAAAATATTTTGATATTTATTTCTTTATTAAATGAAGTCCAAAAATTTTAACAAATATTTTTTTACTTATGATATATATAATATTATTCATTGCGTAAAAAGAAAATATAGAAAAAGAAATTTTTCCTTGTTGAACCCCAAATAATTAATATATTAAAAAACAAAAAAATAAAAAATTAGTCTAAAAAAAATAATTATTATTTCAGCATTATATTTTGGTTTTAATTTATAACTATCTTAAATATGGATAGATATATAATCACAGGAAAAATTGGAAAAGGAGCACAAGGTGTTGTTTTAAAAGCACATGATTTGGAAACAGAAAAAAATGTTGCATTAAAAAAATTATTCTTAAAAAATATTAACAATGGTATATCTACATCTATTATTAGAGAAATAAAAATTTTGCAACAATTAAAACATCTCAATGTATGTTTATTTTAATTATTATGTAATGTTAATAAACTCTGTTATATAATATATTCATTAATTTATTTTTTTAAGAAAAAAATTTTTTTATCATTAATATAGAAATATAAGAAACTTTTAAAAAGATTATTTATTACAGATTATAGAGTTATTAGATGCTTTTCCTTCTGGTTTAGATTTTATAATGGTTTTTGAATATATGCCAACAGGATTATGGGAAATAATAAAAGATAATGATATATTATTAACTCCAGTTCAAATAAAAATTTATATAAAGATGATTTTAGAGGGTATTGCATATATACATGGAAAAAATATAATACATAGAGTAAATAATAAATATTATTATATAAATTAAAATAATTAGAATTTTCTTTTTTATATTTAAAATTCTATTTAATTATAATAAAAATATTAAAATATTTTTAGGATCTAAAACCTGCTAATTTATTAATAAATGAGAAAGGTATTCTGAAAATTGCTGATTTTGGCTTAGGGAGATTGTTGTGGAAAAATGTAACAAAGCCATATTCACATCAAATTGCCACTAGATGGTATAGAGCACCTGAATTATTATATGGTGCACGGTATTATACATCAGCTATTGATATGTGGTCTATTGGTTGCATTTTTGGTGAATTACTTAATAAATCTCCATTATTTCCTGTAAGATGTAAAATATTTCCATATTCTATTTTTTCTATTATATTTTATTATAAAAACATTTATAAGATTAAGTTATTTAATGTTAAACTTACAGGGTGAAACAGATATTGAACAGTTAGCAATTGTTTTAAAATATTTAGGTTCACCTACATCAGAAACTTGGCCAGATTTAAATATATTACCTGATTATAATAAGATTACATTTCCATATCATAAAGGAATAACTTGGGAAAAAATTATTGAGGATTCTGAACCAGAAGCTATTGATTTAATTAGTAAAATACTTATTTATAATTCATCAAAACGCTTGTCAGCTAATGAAGTATATATATTATATATAAATTATATTAAAATAATTAGTAATTAAAATATATAATAATAATTAAAATTTTTTTTATTTCAGGCACTGTGTCATATATACTTTCATGTCAAACCTTATACTTCTTCAAAATATTTGATAAAACCACAAACTAATCATCGTTGTCAAATAAGACAAAAAGAAATTAATACAAACATCCAACCTACTATGCTATTTAAAAATCTATTAAGTATCACATAATAAATTTAAATTTAATTTAATAAAAAATGTATAGAAATACATATTATATATAAATAAAAACCTAAAAAAAAAGCTAAGTTTCACTATTTTATATATATTTTATGTGCAATATAACAGAATGATGTATTGACAAATAAATTTACAAGTTTTTATAATTTTTAAATTAATATATAACAATATAAATATTTTTAACTAATAAATTAAGATAAACAAAAAATATATTTATTATGAATAATTGTTTCTTATTTTATTTATTTTTATAAAATGCAAGAAATCTTTTAAAAACATCACTATTATAATCTTTAAGACAAGGTTGTCCCTTTTCATACTGAGCTTCTTCATATAATTTTATTGATGGTTCTGACCACCAAAAATTTTTTATTCCTTCTTTACCATCAATGTCTAAGGTATTAAGTTGATATACAGAGAAATGAAAGTTTTGTCCATCTGATTGAACACATTGCACAACAATAGGTTCAGGTAATTTTTTCACATTTAATCCAAATCTTTGTTGTGCACAAGTTGCTGCTACAGTAAATGATTTTATCATAGAACGTGCATGAATTTGATCTTCTGTAACTGGCATTTCAGTTAAATTTTTAACTTCCTCTGGATTATTATTTATAAAAATAGTATGAACATTCATAAATGGCGATTCCATAGTAATTGCTATAATATTAATAAAATTTATTTTTAAATTTTCTAATTATAATGTAGAAATATTATATCAAACTTCTACTTACGATATAGATTTTCATTATCAAAAATATTTAATTTAGATAAACCAATGGTACAATGTAATGGATAAATATCAGGTAAATCAAATTCATTATTCATATTTACATCTTCTATTGGTGTCAAAGGTATTAAAGATGTCATCATTATATCCATTTTTAAAGAAAATTTTATGAAATAATTTTCTTTTTCTAAAAGATAAGTTATCAATAAACGATTATTATATTACTAAAGTGTTATATTAGAAATAATAAATATATTAGAAATATATTCTAATATAATAATTAAATAATAAATATAATAAATATATTTAATTATTAAAAATAATTAGAAATAAAATAAATATATTAAAAATAGTAATAAATATATATTAGAAATAATATAGAAAATAATATATATATATTATTATATATAATATATATAATATACCAAAATATGCAAAATTTTCCTAAATTTTTATTAAAGTTTTAATAAAAAATTACTAAATTATTATTACTATTAATTGAAAATTATAATAACAACATATAAATATGAATATGTCTCAGCATATATGTCTCAACAATACAAAAATATTTCTTAATCTTAATCAAATTAATGTTACTTATTTCTTCTATAATTCACATACGTAAACATGTAGATAAACGTCCATCATGCACTATTGATTTATTTTGCGCATCATTTAATCCACATAATGAATCACAAAGTTGTAAAAACTTTTTTGATAAGTTATGCCTAGAATATACATTTTAAAATTAAAATTAGAAAAATATAAAGTCAATATAATTTTATATATGAAAATTTTTTATTATTATTTATACTATTATTTTATACTATTATTATTTTATTATTTTATACTATTGATTTATATTATTAATATGTATATATATAATTTATTATATATACAATAAAAATTAATTGATGTTTACATTTTTCTTGTAGTAGTTACACCATATACTCTTGGAAATACCCAAGCAGGTCGATTAGGATCCTTTAATCGTGGTAATTTTACTTGCTGTGTATCATATATTACAGATGTATAAACAAATCTGAATAAAATAATTTTTAAAATGAATTAGTATTTATACATACCAACTATTAGTTTTAATAAAATTATAAAGCAATGTTATATGTTTAATATAATCTTTATATAATACCTTTTTAATAAATTATTTACATTATCTGGAATTTCAGTAATTAAATTTTGTATTTTTTTTGGCAATTCATTATCAATTTTTAATGTTTTTGTTAATAAACATGCTTGGGGTACTCCTTCTTGTAAAACATTATGATCTTCAAATATCAAATATTTTTGATCATTCAATTCAAGATTTATGTTATTGAATTTATTTGAATTTTTTCCAATTCTAATATAAAAAAAATAACATTTATTAATATTATTTATAAAGTTTTATTAATTTCATTATTAAAAATTAAAAAAGCATTTATGAACTTCAAATAAAATCATTAAATTATTTTTTTTATTATAAGAATTAGTAAATAAACATTAGAGCTATTAATATTAAAACTATTAATATAAAATAAGAAAAGAATATTACATTTCGTGTTTATATTGAGTTTGTTCTAATAAAAATTTTGTAGCATCTTCAATTGGAAAATTCATAGATCTTAAAATATTTTCTGCTTTAGTCATTAATATAAGTCTCTCTCGTTGATGCTGCCATAAATATCTCACTGCTTTACCTATATGATGTTTATATAAAAATTGTGTGAATTTCATTATAATTTATCTAAAAAAAAGAGTTTAATTAAATAACAATTAAAATTCTCTTTTTTAAAAATATTTTTCATTATTTTTTTATATCATTTATATATCTTAATATATCTAATACTGTTATTAGGTTAAGTAATACTATTATTTTTCTAAGATAAAAAATATGTAGTATTGTATTATAACTATTATCACTTTCAAAATCTCTTCAATTAAGAAATATTAATTTTAAATTTATATTAATCATATTTTAATTATTTTTATATATGATAATATTTACTTCAATAAATCTTGATTATAGTTAATATGACATATTATACAATATTCTATATAAATTATATACGAGGATTATAATTCTAATAAGAATCAGTATTAATAAAATATATATATCAGAAATATCAGATTGTCAGAAATATCAGTAATTAATTATTTTAGAAGGATCAATTTTTTAAAAAGTTATTACATTGCAGTACTATAAGACTCTTAATACTAGCAAAAGCGATGTTACCAAATTAACTATCATGGCTTATATTTAAATAAATCATGATCAAAAAAAATTAATATTTTAATATTGTAGAATATGAAATCAAACAGATATCTTAATATTTTTTTTTATATACATCATATATTCTATTTTAATTTTCAATAATTTAATAAATATTATTACAAAATTAATATTATTGAAACTTTATTATACATTAATTAATTTAAATAATTTAATATTACAAACAAGTTGTTGTTATATTAATACAAATATTCATTTTATTTTTATTTCAATAAAAATTTTAATAACATACATACAAAACTAATATATTATGTAGTAATAAGTTTTTACTTATAATGTATATAAAAATACATAATTTTAATTATATTATATTTTATTTGTAAATTATTAAATATTTTAATTTAGCAGTAAATAAATATTTTAATTTTATGAAAAATCATATTATTAATAAATTTATATTTATATTTATATTTATATCTAGGGAAGTAAAAATAGAGTCTTAATATAGTTAGCATTTTCTGTGAGATAAATACATAACATATGCGCGCGCATACATCCTATGCTTTTATAGTGATTTGCATATTATAAAAGGTTCCTACCTTTGATGTGTGAAAAGATGGTGACCTACTGATAACGAAGTTCTGTGATAAAAATTGTGAATGTTGAAGAACTTTTATCGTACAAACATTAATAGCCTTAAAAATAGGCAATGTATTGGAGTTGGATACATTTTCAAGAATTTATAATAAATACATCTGTATGTATCATATAATTATTTGAATATTTTAATTTCATCATTTAAAAAGAGAATATCAATAGCAATAGTGTTTTTAGTACATGAAAGCCATCAAGTTTTTTAAACAGTATTGTTTTATACAGTATTGTAATGTATGTATTTATCATTAATTATATAAGTTTATTTTTTTATGCAGTTTTGCTTTATTATTATACAAAATATTAAAATGTCTGAAATAATTTTTTATTTCGCTTATTTATACAGTGTAATATAGTTTAACTACTAATCTAACTTAAGTATTTCTTTTGTTTTACCATAGTGATAATTGTTTTTCAGAATATTTTTTAATTATTTTATATTATTTTATAATTTTTATTTATAGATGTACAAGTTAAACAAAAATATTTTTGTTTAACTCAATTCATTAAGATTATTTAAAACTTCATTTCAGGTGAAATTTATATATAAATAGTAAAAAAAATTATGAATTTTCAAAAAATATATTAAATTTTACTAAATTGTATACAATGTCTCATTGTGACGAAGAAGTAGCATCATCTGGTTTTCACCAATTAAGTATTACAAGTAAGTCTTAATTTATTTTTAAAATACATATAAATTTTGTCATTACTATTATTATATGTTATATATTTATCTTGTTTAATTATCTTGTTTAATATATTTTATATGTACACTGTATATGTATACATATAATATACATATGATATAAATCAATATTTAAATTTATTTTGACAAATTCTTCTATTTATTTTGACAAATACAACATATTATTTAATAAATAAATATTAAATGTAATAACTATTATTATTGCATATATATAATTAATATTAATATTGCAAATAATATCTAATATTAAGATAACAATTTATTATTTTAGTTGAAGGTGCTATATTAAGAAGTTCTACATTTTTAAAACCTAATCCTTATATAGAATTTTCTGTTGATGATAAAAGTCCTCGAAAGACAGAAGTTTCGAAATCTACATATCAACCAAAATGGAACGAGGAATTTACAATACTTGTAACTCCACATTCACAATTACATTTTCGATTGTTAGATCATAGTACTTTCCGAAAAGATACTTTAATAGGAGAAAAAAAAATAAGTCTTTCTCAAGTATTATCTCATTATAATGGAAAATTGGAAAATATGGAAGTAACATTTGACTTAATGAGTGAAAATAAACATGATTCTCAATTATGTAAAGTTGGAGAATTAATAACAGTATTTGATGGATTAAGAATCAATATGCCAAATACATCATCAAGCATTAATGAATCACCATCATGTCAAACACAATCTGTCTGCATACCTTTTGATGGTAAGAAATTAAGATTAGATGTTTAATTTTTTATAATTTTCATATATTTTATATATAAATAATATAAAATTGTTTTTAATTTAAAATTACAAACAATATTTTAGGTGTTTCAAATAATGATGCTATTAGTAATAGTAGCATTCTTAATGGAGGAATTCGAGCACGTATGAGATTAAATGAAGCTAAACATGTTGCATCATCTAATTTTCATGGAACATTATCAAATATTTACCAAAACTCTACTTATAATAGTGGAAGTGAGCAAACTAATACTAATAAAAACAATGAACAAATTGAGCCTGTTGCATCGAATTCTTTAACAAATGGACATGCAATATCTCCTGCAGATAAATCTATTGTATCTTTATCAGGACGTTTTGCAGCATCTTTGCCAGATCGTCAAACGTCTCGAATAGATGTATCAACATCTGGTATAATAGATGGAAGAGTTGGTTCATGTACAGAACAATTTCCAAAAGTTTCTGCCTCAGAAAGTCGTAATATTTCCCAAATTGAACAATCAACAGTATTGTCTGGAACAGTTGGAATATCTAGATCAGATCAATTAACTACTAATACAGATATATGTTCACATAATAGAACAGAACAATCTCTCTCTAATGAACGTAACATTCGAACAGAACAATCAGTAACTAGTTCTCTTTCAGATAATTATGCAAGTATAAGAACAGATCAGGATACTTCTTTAGTGGATGGATTTATAGTTTCTAGAGTAGATCAATTTAGAAATCCTGTTTTAACTGATAATCAAGGACATTCTCAGACAGAGCAATCTGTAGTATTTACTTTACCAGATGGTTCTCATTTAGAACAACCTACAGTATTCTTATGACAGATAGTCGTGGAATAACACGTTCAGATCAATCTTCAATATTATCCATGGGTGAAGCGCGTAGAACTACTCATAATGAACAATATACAAATCCTACAACTACACGTTCAAATCCTCGAGTAGTACAACGGGTAGCTTCATTGTCAGGATCATCTAACATGCTGCCTGGACAGTCAACTCAATCTGGATCTTCAATTGTACTTGCTGAAGTTGATCCTACAAATCATTCTGAAGAGCCATTACCTCCTGGTTGGGAAATGAGATATGATATTTATGGAAGAAGGTTATTTATTTTAAAAAAATAATTTAATTTTTAGATTTTTCTTAAGAAATGTATATGTATATGTATATGTATATTTTTTAATATATATTTTATTTTTAATTATTTTTTATTAGATATTATGTTGATCATAAGACACGAAGTACTTCTTGGGAAAGACCACAACCTTTACCACCAGGCTGGGAAGTTCGTAGAGATCCCAGAGGCAGAATTTATTATGTAGATCATAATACAAGAACTACAACATGGCAAAGACCAAATACAGAAAGATTACAACATTTTCAGCATTGGCAAGGTGAAAGACAACATGTGGTACAACAAGGAAACCAACGATTTCTCTATCCTCAAGTAAATAATAAATAATTACAATATAATAATTTTATTTATATTTCATTTCTAGTTTTTAAAATATAAATATTTAACGACTTAGTTAAATATTTAAATATATAAATATAAATATTTAATATATATTTGCAGGCACATGGAAATCAAACTGCTATAGCAGGACCCTCAACATCATCTATGGTTGATGATGATGATGCTCTAGGACCATTACCTGCTGGATGGGAAAGACGTAAACAGCCAGAAGGAAGAGTTTATTATGTAAATCATAAAAATCGTACAACACAATGGGAAGATCCAAGAACGCAAGGACAAGAAACTGGAATTGATGAACCACCATTACCAGATGGCTGGGAAATACGATTAACCGAAGATGGAGTTCGATATTTTGTAGATCATAATACAAGGACAACTACATTTCAAGATCCAAGACCTGGTGCACCTAAAGGGTTTATATATTTTCTTTTAAATCATTCTTAAGTACCTTTTTTATTATTATTATTGTTATGTCACTTATTATTATTTCCTTATTTAGTCCAAAAGGTGTTTATCGTGTACCAAGAGCATATGAAAGATCATTCCGATGGAAATTATCACAATTTCGCTTTTTATGTCAGACCAATGCATTACCGAATCATATAAAAATTAGTGTTAATCGACAAACACTGTTTGAAGATTCTTATCATCAGATAATGAATGCTGAAGCTTTTGCATTAAGACGCAGATTATATATAATATTTAAAGGAGAAGAAGGTTTAGATTATGGAGGTGTATCAAGGTAAGAATTAATTATTCCAAATAAAAATTATTTTAAAAAATATATAAAAATGAATTAAATATTAATTTTGATTTTAGAGAATGGTTTTTCTTGTTGAGTCATGAAGTGTTAAATCCAATGTATTGTTTATTTGAATATGCCAATAAGAGTAATTATAGCTTACAAATTAATCCAGCATCTTATGTTAATCCTGATCATTTACAATATTTTAAATTCATTGGAAGATTTATAGCAATGGTATGATAATTTTTATTCTCTCAATAATATTATTTTTAATAAAATCAATAAAATTAATATACATTTTTATATCTAGGCTCTTTATCATGGACGTTTTATCTATAGTGGATTTACTATGCCATTTTATAAACGTATGTTAAATAAGAAATTGATTATGAAAGATATAGAATCTATTGATCCAGAATTCTATAAATCTCTTGTATGGATAAAAGAAAACAATATTGATGAATGTGGTCTCGAATTGTATTATAGTGTAGATTTTGAAATTCTTGGCCAAGTAATACATCATGAATTAAAAGAAGGTGGTGACAAAATTAGAGTTATTGAAGAAAATAAAGAAGAATATATTAGGTATAACAAATATTAAATTAATATTTTATATGTTAAAGAATAATTTATTTATTAATTTTTATTATATAAGGTTAATGACGGAATGGAGAATGACAAGAGGTATAGAGGACCAAACTAAAGCATTTTTAGAAGGTTTTAATTCTGTTGTACCATTAGAATGGTTAAAATATTTTGATGAGCGTGAATTAGAACTTATGCTTTGTGGTATGCAAGAAATAGATGTAGAAGATTGGCAACGCAATACAATTTATAGACATTATACACGAAATAGTAAACAAATTTTGTGGTTTTGGCAGGTTTGTTATTATATAGTATTTCTAAAAGATTATTTTATATATATGTCAAATTTATTATTTATATATTTTATATTCAGTTTGTGAATAGAACAGATAGCGAAAAACGAGCTCGACTTTTACAATTTGTAACAGGTACTTGTCGAGTACCTGTTGGAGGATTTGCAGAATTAATGGGTAAATAATAAATACTAAAAATTAAATAAATTTTAAAGAATTTAAATGAAATTAAATTTAAATTATTTATATTTAAAATTATATAAATTTATATTTTTTTAGGGAGCAATGGTCCTCAAAGATTTTGTATAGAGAAAGTAGGAAAAGATACATGGTTACCTAGATCACATACATGCTTCAATAGATTGGATTTACCACCATATAAAAGTTATGATCAACTAGTAGAAAAGTTAAATTATGCAATTGAAGAAACAGAAGGTTTTGGCCAAGAATAATTAAATACTTAAATATAATATACCACTATGTATGAAAAGTGATGAAGATAAGTTTAGTGTAATACAAGGTTTTAATGGTTTGATTTATCTTGTTTACAATAACAAGATAAAATTGTTAAGTAAGAATTTTTTTTAAATTAATGAATTGAAAATGTTTGTATTAAACTTTTATAAGAAATTCTGATATTAATTTTAATTGAAAATTTATTTCAAAGCATACTTCTTTATTATATATATATATATATATATATATATATATTATAATTATATATATATAATTATATATACAATTATATCTAAATATGTAAAATTCGTAGAAAATATCAATGAAGTGCACAGAAAATATTTAAAAAATTGTATATATTTACAAAATAAAACTTATACAATTAATAAATCATAGAATAATAAAATAAAAGCAAAGATGCCAAAATAATTACCTTATAATTGATTTTTTTTTTTTTTAAGATTAATCTTATCTAATTTTATTTCATTAAGTTTCATTAATAATTATAATGAAATAAATCATGTTTTTAATTGCTGTTTATTATTGATGCTTTCTACGATACTTAGTAATATTCCCTAATAAAGGGCTTGAAAATTATAATAAGTGCTGTACATATTAAGCTATAAATATATTGTATTTTATGTGACAAATCAATAATAACGATTTCATGTTTCGTCCTAAGAAGATATAAAAAATTACATTAAAAAATTAGATAGTAGATAGATTGAAAAATGAAAAATACTATAAAAAAATGGTTTTTTGTATAAAAATAAATAATTTATACAATTTTTATCATATAAATTTAAAAAAAAGTTAAAATAATATATGATTTGTTAAATTTAAACTAATTTTCAATATTTTTAATTGATTTTTATTATTATTTCAATTTTTTTTATTATTTGAAATATTATAAACAAAAAAATAGTAATTTTGTTATAAAAATCATTGGAAGTAATATTTGTAAATTATTAACATTTATTATTTAATATTCGTGATAAATGAAATTCATTTGATAATAAATATTACCATTTCTTTCTTTATTATTTCTATAACTATTTCTATTATCATATTGTGAATTATATGATTAAGTTTTTTAAATTTTTATTATTTATAGCTAGATTGTATAAAATTTCGTATTATTTGTTTTCATTATTATATATTTTATCTCTTTCAATTTAATTTTCTTTTTTTATTTTTCTTTTTTGCATAATATATAAATATCTATCTTCATTTTTTTGTAATTCTATATTAATTTGAATATTTTTTGATTCTAAATAAAAAATGTACTATTATCAGATTTAATTAAATTTTAGATAATATTTTAAATACATTATATATTTGATAGCAATGTCATTTTTCCGAGATTTATTATTTACTATTTAGATCTATTATTTACTTCAAATCAATTAGAAATATTTAATATTATAGTTACTATTGTTATTGTTATTGAATCATTAAAGTATTGATATTTTTTCATAATATTTAAAATAAATTTAAACTAATTTTTTAAATTTGGTTCTTTATATTATAAACTTAGGATTATAAACATGAAATTTGTTAATATTTTTAATTTGTGTGTGCATATATATGCTCATATATGTATAAATAAATTGTAATTAATGTAAGAAATAATTAATACATTTAATATGCTGGCAAAAATATCAAATATATACATGTGTACACACAAATTATGTTCATGAAATGAATATTTTGACAGTAATATAATAAAAAATATATATATATATATGAAAAAATTTATAATATTATAAAAATCAGTTTACTTATGTATTGGCTAATTAAAATGAATATAAATATTTGTAATATAATTTCTGTATAATGCATATTCCAAGTTTTGTAATTCAGTATATACAAAGTATACATGCTATAGTATATGTATATGAAAATATTTACTGTTTTTTTTCTAAAAATATTCGATTGTAAATTTTTAATTGAATGAATATGTATTTTATTTTCTATTATTTTTATCATTTTAATATAACAATAAATATCTATTATTTATTATATATAATTTAGTAGGTTATTTTTTTATTATATTTTTTTATTATAAATATATAAACATATTTAAAAGATATGTAAAAAATACTGTTCAAGACAAAAAGTTTCAAAGAATTTTTTAATTAAATTTAATAAGTTTTTTTAACTAAATTTAATTTCATTTTTTATTTTTTTTAAATTGTATATTACTAATGTTTAAATTATATATCTTTAAAATATTCTGGATATCAAAATCACTAGTAATTTTTTTTGTAATTTAACAGATAAAACAAAAATAAATTGCATCATTCAAATATAAATTAAAATATGAATCATGGACAATGATATTCAAATGATGTAAGTAGAAGTTACACGTATTTTGTCATGTCAACTAACACTTCGCAATGATAATTCATACATGTGAATTCATATTGTGCATGTGTAAAGAACAAATGATATTAAATAAAAAATTTATTAAATATCAAATAATAAATATCAAATATCAAATAATAAATATAAATATCAAATAATAATATTAAATAAAAAGATGCATATCAATAATTTGTATTTATATAATAATATATTTGTATATTATATAATTAATTATAATGTTATTATTACATTCAACAAAACAATATTTATTATAATATTTATTTATATTATACATTATAAATTAACAACTTAAATCAATTTAATAACTTAAAAGTTAAAAAATTATTCTAAACTTTCTAAACTTAATCATTTAATTAAAATTATTAAATTAAAATATTAATCTTATGAAATATTGCATATATTATTTTTCTTGAAAAATTTATATATGAAAAAACATATGCAAAATATAAAATGATTCTGTTTTTGCACATGAAATTAAAATATAAAAAAGAAATTATTTTTGATCACTATATGCATTATTAATTACATTATGCATTATTATATTCATAATTATCTTATAAATACTTAAATAGATATACATATTTATACATAAAATGAATTTATATATTACTGAAATAATTTTATTACATATTATGTAAATTATATTTTTGTTTAACAAGAATACCGTACCGTATGTTATTATCATTTACTATATCTTTATTATAATCACTAGAAAATTACTATTTAAATTTTATTTAATTATATCATAATTTTGGATTAGGTTTAAAAAATTTATCCCAAGAGAAGAAATTTAAATCACTATCGAGAAAATTTCTATTTTCATTTGATGTTAATTTTTTTTTTCCAAATAAGTCACCTGAAATTTATATAATTATAATTTTTTAAACAAGAATTAATTAGTGAAATTAAAAATGATTTTTTTGAAAAATTGTATAATTTTCAATACATTAATAAATATTAATATAAGAATATTTTCTAAATTATATTTTTTTATATAAATAAATTAATACATTTTTATAAAAAAAATATAATTTAGAAAATATTTTTTAATTCTGTAAATCTTACTTTAAGTTATAAATATTATTTGTTTCTTCAATGTCTCAAAATTTTGTAAATTCCTGATTTAATTATTAAAAAAAAATTTCAATAATATATGATATTTTTTTTTTTAAATTTTTAATTCATTGGTATTTTAAAATTGTAACTGACATAAATTGAAAAAAAGTATTCCAATAAACACATATCTAATTATCCAGTGATATTAAAATGATATAATATTTTATAATTGTTAATAAGATATATAAAAATATTAAATATATTTTTTTTATTAGAAATATTAATTATTATACTATATTAAAACAAGAATTTATATTGTTTTCCTGAATCCTTCATAAATTTACTTACATTCATTTACATCACAAAATTCTTCTGTTTTTGTTTCTATTCCATTTTTATCTATTTTTGTAACAATAGTGTGAATTTTATCGCCAATTTGCTGTGATACCATAGTTTCTTCATTTCCTTCATAATCTTTAATAATTTGTTTTTGCTCTATTGTTCCATCAGGTTTACGAATATATTCTTTCCTCATGGATTTTCCAAATATACGAGGACGTGATATTTCAAATTTTGACTTGTCATGCTCATCCCAAATATTAGAAAAATTATCTACAGTAATCCTATTGAAGTTAATAAAATTTTTTTTCAATATTTATAATATTATTACATTCAATAATTTTTTAAAATGAATAAATGAATAATATTATTAATTAAATGAATTATAATTTAGCTATTTTATTAAATTTAATTACTAACTTTCCATCTAAATCTGTATCTAATTTTAATCCAGTCTGATTATTATTTGGTTTCAACATTTTATCACGTAAATTTTCTCTCTGTGAAGGAGCATTTGAAGGTCCAAATAAAAATACATTTGTATTTGCATCATTATCTAAAAAAAAATTTTTAATATTTTAAAAATATTTTAAAAATTATATATGAATTAAAAACAATATATTGATATCAATTATTAAATTCATACCTTCATTATGAAACCCATAAATAAAATTCATCATTATATTCTCAATCTGAGATTCAAAGTATCTTGTTATTTGTAATGGATCACTAAAGATATTAAAGTGATTGTTTCTTCCAAAATATCTATTATAATATATAAAGTTATAGTTACAATTAATAATTTTTCATAATAAACATAAATAAACAAAATATATAAATTATATTATATATTATATTATTATATAAATTCTATTAAAATCCATTTTTTCAAAGTCATTGCAAACATAATGTTTTTATTATTTATTTTGTATTTAAATTAAATAATTCAGAAAACTAATCATTTATTTATGAAAAATTATATTTTTTTAAACATAATAAATAAAATATTTTATATGTATATTTTATATGTATATGTATATTTATTTTATAAATATAAGTAGATTTTTTAAAAATATATATATATTATTATTTTATTATTATTTAAAATAAAATAAAATTTTATATAAATATATATTATATTTATGTTTTGCAATATATATACTTAGTTTATTTATATCAAAGGTTTAATATCATATTAAAATAATACAAATAGATTTTTAAATATAAATATAATTGAACAATGAATAAATAATAAATCATAAAATGTAAAACAAAATTTACCTCGGATTATCGTAAACATCAATTTGCCATATTGAATTTCCAAAATTGTCCCCATCATAATTATCTTCACAATCAGCAAATCTGAAATATTCAATTAAAATAAAAAAAATTGGAAAATTCAATTAAAATAAAAAATATAATATATTTGATTAAACCATAAAAAATGAATAAAAATAAGTAATAATGCAATCATATAATCCGCATAGAATTCATAATTATACATATTTATTTATACTTTTTACCTTTTATTAATTTATCCGAATTGTTTCCGCCAAATATATTGCGGAGGAAATTCCAAAATTCCATTTCTTACAACTCTAATCTCTTTGCTTAATGAAAAGAAGCTTACATCATATTTTTGAATATTCTCGAACTATAGTAATAGAATGTGTTCAACAAGACAACTCACTAGATATAAATAAATTAAAAGATGTGACAATTAGATACAATTTCAGCTATTGGCTGACGAATTATCGATATTAAAATTATTACATATTTAAAATATGTGATATTAACTATAATATTATATATTTTATTTTAATAAAGACAAATTATATTTGTGAACTTTTTTCTCGAATTATTTATCGAATCAAGAAATCATATTTTTCCTTCTCTAAATTTAAAATATATATTAAAATATATTTACTAAATATTTTATATAAATTGAATTATATAAATATGAATTATGTCGATTTAATTTCTCTTTAAATTTTGATCATGTGATTTTATTTAGTGATTTATTTTGTTGACAGAATATAATATTTTTTAATTGAAGATAGTCATATAAGATAAATTATGATTAGAATAAATTTAGCAATATTATTCAATTCGATAGACATTTACTATAAGTTACTATTTTCGGATTCCCACGATTTTATAAAATATTTGCTTATAACAATATATATAATGATAATAAATTACATAAAAAAGATACAATAAAATAATTATAATGTAATACAATTTGTATATAGCACAAATTTTTTCTCTATATAAATATTATAATAATTACTTGATTTACATATATAGCAAATTATTTAATAGACATTGAATTAAAAAACTTAAAATCTAAACTTTCACATTTCATATTTTATTATCATATTAGCATTTCTTACTTTATTTTTCTCATAATTATACAGTATAATAATTTAATAAATACATAACATTAAAAATAATATTATTCTATTATAAATTGTTTATATAATGTTGTATAACATTTTTATATAAAAATTTTATAAATTAACTTATAATTACATTATAATATAATTTAATTATAATATAATTATGTTAGTTTGTAAATAATTTAAAAACTTTTCTTATTTTCTCTGAATTGTTCATACTGCTCATTTCATTTAATCTTGATATATTTTTTTTATATATTAGAAAATATTTATAATTCTTTTCATTTTGATTAACTTTTGATAATTATATATTTATCATTTTTTTAAGGAATATTTTAAATTTAAATTTATCTGAAATACAGATTTTTTTTATCATTTAAATATTTATGTATATATTATTATTACTTACAGTTACATTATTTATACATTATTTATAATTTTTAAAGGTTATGTATATTTTATTCAATTTCTCTATGTATTAATTATATTTCGCCAATTTTTATTATGTATGTTAAAATAGAACTCCAGATACTTGCTAGTAAAAGCGATGTTGCCAAGCTTAATATCACGATTTGTATCGAAAGAAATAGCCTATGTCTATCATAAAATAACTTCATAGAAAGGTAACCATTTTGAAGTGAAGTAATTTTCATAATTTGAAGTTTAATCGCAATTTATATATAATATATCTTCCTTTTTATAACAATATATAGGATACAGTAAAATTAAATCTTTTAAAGTTATCAATATATCTAATTAAATTTTTTCGTCTTTCTCTTTTTCTCTCTCTCTCTATACATATATATATATATGTATTATATGTGTATATATATACATATGTAAGTGTGTATATATATATATATATCGAAAAATATATCATTTGCATGTAATAAATAACTATTTAAAATCAATTTAAACATCTGAATTATTACAATTCTCAATAATATTTTATTATGTAAATTTATGTAAGTAATATTTTATAATTATCTAAATTATATATTATATGATATATATATATATATATATATAAATAACATATTTTAATTTAACATGTAATAAATCAATATAATTGTGCAATATGTTTATAAAATAATTAAATTAAATAGTCTTATTAAACAAATTAAAGAAGAATTACAAGATAGAAAAAGCTCTATTCTACAATTTTAATATTAGATTAAGATTTTTATAATGCAAGATTATATTTTATATATTATATATTTTATAAATTATAAAATTATTAATAATTATAATATACATATATTTTTTTGTGTATTAAAAATTTCTCATTTTTATAATCACTTTTGTTTTAGATGAAAAGAAACTTCAATATGATAAAATACAAAACATATAACATAGAATTGTTTTATTAAACAAAATTAATATTTTAAAAATTAACAATGAATAATATTTCTGGACAATTCCGTAAAACAATATGGGATCCATTTCTTATTATATCTCAAATAATTGCTATTCAAACAGTGATGTATTTTTGTCTTGGATTATGGATTTGGATTGTTGCATCATATATAGGATCCACAAAATCATTAGATTATGTTTTCCATTATAAAGAAATCCATGTTAGAGATTTTGCTGGTCAGTTTATTATAATTATTTTTATTTTAAATGCATTGATTGGAGCAATTGCATTATGGTGGCTAGTACAGAGAACAAAACAATGTATGGACTTTGCATGTACAGCACATTTAATACATTTGTTATGCTGTTGGGTATATAATGCAAGTTTTCCATCAACTTTTAGTTGGTGGTGCTTAAATATTATATCTTTAAGTATAATGTGTGTCTGTGGTGAATTCCTCTGTATGAAAACCGAATTGCAAGCAATACCACTAAGTATGAACAGTCAGAAAACAGCTTTGTAAAAATTTATTACCAAAGTCAAATATATAGAAAATATTATTATTGTTCCACAAATTAAAAAGTTTAAAATATATAAATAAAAGAGATCTTGTACTATGTACATATTTCTAACATTTATTACTATAAATATACATAAAATAAATTCGTAATTTACAATTTAACTATATGTATATATTGCATTTATTTAATGATCTTCTTTATAAAAGCGTAAACCACAATATCCACAAGTATGATTACCAGGTTTATCCTAAAATATATAGTTATATATAAAAATAAAATTAAGAAATATTCTTTAACTATTATTATAATACTATAATAATTTATACCAGATTAATATAAACTTTTGGATGTCCTAGAGGTCCACCACCTCCATCACATGCCACAATTTTTTCTTTTGCTGATGTAGGAGAAACTTCTGCTATCAATTTTATGGCCCAATTATCATTAACCTCTTTTGGTCTATTTACAAATCGTATATTGCGATAATCATCTTCATCATATATCTATTAAAAAAATAAATTATTGTTATTATTATTATTATTATTATGATATTATTTCAAAATAAATAATATAGATTACAAAAAATTATAACATAGATTACAAATAAATATATAATTTTATAACTTTAATTTTACCTGACCAGTATGAGTAATTTTTTTAGCAGATTTTGAAGTTATATCGTGTACATTTCTCATTATTAGTCCTATAATATTAATTTTACATTTTCTATTGGAAGTTTTAAAAAAATTCATAATCTTTATACTCGCCATTTTTTTTTTGTTTTCTTTAATTCTTTGAGATGTCGCGGTAGATTTTCAAACAGAAAAAATATAGTATATATACAAGATATCTTAAAAGTATAAAAACGCAAATTAACTAAAGATTTCTGAAGTAATTTTAAGCAACATTTTCTTTTAAAAAATTTTTGTTATAGTTTTGTTAACAAATTATTAACAAAAAACATTAACCAATCATGGAACGCATAGATGAGTCACTCGTAATAGTAATTGAATATCGACTAAGCACGAAGAAGTTCAAGCAATATGTCGAAAAAAGTCTGTAAATATTTTTCTATTGAAAAAAAAAGTATATTGAATTACATTTCATTTAAAAATAATAAATGAACTAATTATTATTATAAATTTAAACTCAAAAATTTAAATTTTATAATTATTTACGATTTTTCATAAAAATTTTATTGTATATGAAACGAATTTATATAACTTTTAAATACATGATTAAATATTTGTAATTTTTTTCATAAAAAAGAATAAAATGTTAATATTTACGATCATAATTAATCATAATAATAATTACAATAATAATAATATTACAATCATAATAATTTTAAATTTGTTATATTTAAAAAATATTTAAAAAATATATATTAGATAGGATGAAAATTATTATTTTCTAATAAATAAAATTAATATCATTAAATGACTTAGTTTCAAAATATTTTATTTGTAGTACAATACAACTGTACAAAGATGATATATAGACCAATAAATTGATCCATTGTGATCCTTGAGCTTAATCAAATAGTCCTGCAAAAAAAAATTCATAAAGTCAAATTTTCTTCTTTATAATATAATTACAATACAAATAAACACAATAATATTATAATTTTTTAAATATTCTCATTTTTTAAATATTATCAGACATAATATCAATAGCTAATACATAATAATAATCATTGAATATAAAAATATAAAACTCTGTAAGAATATTAATATTATATTGTTTAAAATATATTATATACGTACCAAAGCCCATATCATCATCTGATTCTGGTTCAGGTTCTTCTTTTTTCTTTTCTTCTTTAGCTGGTGCACTTTCTGTACTAGCAGGTGCAGCTGCTGCTGGTGCTTTAAAAAATAAAAAATGTTATTACATAAAAATCCAATGTGATAATTATATGATCTATATAAAACAATAATAAAATTATTATTTATCGTTGTCGTACATAGAAATATTAATCATATTTTGAAATATGATTTTCAGAATTTTCTATTCTTTTTTTATTTCCTCTTTTGCTGACCGCACTAATATAAACAATTATATAGAACGGTGGATGAAGAGGATCTATATTTCTTTGTTCATAATAATATAAACAAATGAATATATGCATTTAATTAATTAATTAATTTTATATATTATATAATAAAAATATATTAAAAAAAAATAATAAATATATTTCATCTATCTTAAAAGAAATTTTATATAACAAAAAAATTAAAGTAATAAAAAAATTAAATGTTAATATACCTGCTGCTGGTGCTTTTCCAACTCCTGATCCAATATTTGTTATAAGTTCTTTTATATTAACTCCTTCTAAAGCTTTGGCAAATAATCCTGGCCAATAAGATTCCACATCAACATTAGCAGCTTTTAAAATTGTTTGAATTTTTTCTCCCTGTAAAAATTAATATTTTTAGCTATTATATATATTTTAATATATATAATTATATTATATATTATATATATATATTTTTAATTTTATTAATAATAAAATAAAAATAATATTTCAATTTTCATTATATGAGTTAAGACAAAATCAAATGATTAAGTTTAATAAGATAAATAAATTTGATTTTTAAAAATTGAGAAATTTATAAATAATCAATTTGACTTTAAATATTAAATATCTAATTTATATTAAGAAATCAAAATCCACGAGTGATACTTACAGTTACAGCAACATCGTCATCAACAAGAATTAGTGTTGAATAAACGCAAGCAAGTTCAGCTTTCTTATTCATGTTTGTCACTTGTATAAAATATATTGAAGCTGGATGGAATGATAAAACGGTGCAAGTCGCTGATATAGCCTTAGCTCAAGAAAAGAGAACAAGCACCCGACATTCGCTTGATCCAACTAAAAGGAAAGAGAAATGAGTTTAAAGGAAGTCACGTGATATATTTAGGGAGTATTTTCAATTAATCACTAAATAAAAATAATATAATCCTATTGGTTAATTTGATAACTACGAAATATTTTTTAACACAAAAAATTATATTATAATTATTTATTATCATTATTATGTAGCATTATTATTATATGTACATATAATTATTATTATTATATATATTACAATTATTGTATATCTGTAATATCACATTCTCATGAGAATGCAACGAAGATATTATAGTAAGTATTTGAAATAATTTTTATATCTAGTGTTAATATTCAAATGATTCTACTAACAAAATTAACGATTCTACTAATATAATTTATTAGATAAAATTTAATATTTTAAATAAATAATTTCAAGAATGATACGTGAAACATTATTTTATATTATTGTGAATATTCATGAAAATTAGAAGAGGGCGCCACATATTGATAAATTTATTTAATAAGTAATGCTTATATACTCAACGTTCTTCGAAAAGTGCAGATCGATTAGTGGATCATATACGCAATTGAGATAGTTCAGTGTTTTTACGAACGTTGGTTGAAGCATTTTCACTCGAAAGGGTGCGTGTCAAAGTAGTAGACACACAACTGCTAATCTCGTGGTTACATTTTATTTTTACGAATATCTTAGGAAATGTACTTTTGCGGCACATTGCTATGTAGCACGTAAATGAAGCGACGGCGTATAGCGCGGTCGCATATCAAAAGAATACTACCTATAGGAACGATGAGAATGGCGCGCAAATGTTGCGTGCGTAGCTGTGAGGCTGATGTGCAAGATGCGCGTGCTAAAGGGTTACCGCTTCATAAGTTTCCAAAAGATATTACTTTAAGAAACAAATGGTTAACTAGTGGTGGATTTGAAGCGAATTTTAAACCTTCACCAGGTCAAGTTGTTTGTCACAAACATTTTAAACGAGCTGATTACGAAGCTGCTAAAGGACATAAATTACTTCTACGTAAAGGTAGTGTTCCGTCGGTTTTTGCAGATTATGACAATCATCCGGGTGTGTATCACTTAGTACTTGTTTTTATGACATTTATATATTATATTATACTATAACATGTTTTTATTGTTATTATATTTTTCAAAAGATAATCTTCAGAGATATCACATAAAGAGTGTTATATTTAAATATTTTTATGATATGGTTTAGTGTTTTTCTATAAATATAAATTTTAAAAAACGATAATATATATCGAAAAAAAATTAATGCTAAATTACTAATATATTGTGATTATTAAAATAAGTAAAAATTTTATAATTGTGAATTTATAAATTATTTCTTCATAAAATTCTTTGTAATACAATTTATATGTACATTTTTCTATATTTTTATGCATAAATCTATTGTTAATTTATTGTTCTAGAATATATTATATTAATTAAAAATTAAAAAAACTTTTATTTATCATTTATAGGTAATAATAATCAATAATATAATAATTTAATGATCTTTTCTATAATTTCATTTTCCTTTATTTATTATTATCAAAATATGACTATATTGATTGCTATATATATAAAGTATTATTGTTTCTTCCATATAATTCAATATGATATTTCAGTATATTTTATAAATATAATTTATAGATATAAAAAAAAATATATAAACATTATTCATTAAGACATTTGAAGTTATTATATATACTAATATATTGAAAAGTTATAAAAATTCGAAGAAAATGGTTCATTTATCAAATGTTTTGTTTAGTTTTATGCTATTAGATTTTCACATATAGAAAATATAAAATAATATATATGAATTGATATAAAGAATTTATAATCAATGAGTTGAGATAAAAATCATCTTTTTAGAATAAATTCAACTTCTTATTATTTAATTATTGACTATAATACTAATAATAATAATTAATGTAATTGTCTTATCTTAAATTATAATTCATGATAATTATAAATCTATTATTGTTCTCATTTTATTTTATATCTTTCTTATAATTTTTCAAAAAAATTTCATTTATGTTTATATTTATATTTATGTAACATTTTCTCATTAATATAAAAAATATATTGACAAAATTGAACAAATCTGGAATACTTTGGATAATATAATAATAAACATGTAAATAATAATAAACAATGATGAATAATGAACATTATATAATAATAATAAATGATATACATATATTATATATATATGATATTTGATAATAATTGAATAATAATTATACCTTCCATTGTAAATAATTAATTAATTAATTATAAATAAGATTAGAAAATATATGTACATGCATATGTATAGAAAATATATTTAAAATTTTTAAAATTATTTAAATTTAATAACAATATTATTTTTTGTGATTTATATTATTAGATATAGTTTTATGTTTTCATAATATTTAATTATTTTATTAAATTTTTTAATAATGGAAATAATTATTATTCATTATCATTTAAATATTTTATTTATAAAATTTTATTATAAAATGTTTTCTCAAGGTGTATTTAAAACTTTATATATATTTGAAAATTATTGTTAAATAGAAAATATTATTTTCTTAAAGTTTATAATAATATATTAATTTTTTACAGATCCTGTAATAATGTCTGTGAAATCATCAACTTCTTATGCACAAGAGGATTTAGATCTTATTAATTCTGAAATTTTGAATTTAGAACAATCTATATCTCCATTGAATTCTGGTGCCAGAACACCAAAATCTGATAGTTGTGGAGAAACATGTTCTTCTCGACCAGAATCATCAGCTGATTCCTTTAATTTATTAGATTCAACAGAATTAATTGATAATGGATGTAAAGCTTTAAGTGTGAAAGAAGAAAATATATCTCCTATGAAACAACAAGAGATAAATAAAAATTCAGAAATAGAAGTTAGTACTATGGCAGTGCAATTAGGTATTGTTGAATCTGAT